TCTCTCTCTCTCTCTCTCTCTCTCTCTCTCTCTCTCTGTGTGTGTGTCTCTCTGTCTCGGTCTCTCTGTCTCGGTCTCTCTCTCTCTCTGTCTCTCTCTCTCTCTCTGTGTGTGTCTCTCTGTCTCGGTCTCTCTGTCTCGGTCTCTCTCTCTCTCTCTCTCTCTCTCTCTCTCTCTCTCTCTCTCTCTCTCTCTGGTATCCTTCATACTCTCTCTGCTTCTAGCTACCATAAGATTAGAACTCTTTCCTGTCATGAGATTTCTGGTCATGGGCTGATATCTCTGCAACCGTGAACCACAATAAATACTTTCTCTTTCACATTGTATATGTCAGGTGTTTTATCCCAGCAACAGAAAAGTGGACTAAGACAGTGCCCCCAGACTTCATGGAAGAATACTACAGCATTCTCCTAAAAGGGGAAGGCCATCTAATTTCCGGACTGAGCCTATTCTACACCAGTTCTGATATAATCATTCAAGGAAAATGCATTAACTGACCTAGCTAGATCTACTTAGCCAGTGAACGTTGGCACTGGGGCTTACCCACCAGTTATTTATGAGTTCCTTTAGGAGGAGTCAGTCCTCCTCCAGTCACGCCTCTTTAGGAATGTTCGGATTCCCCAGACTTAGAAGAGCAGATCAGGTATGGGTTCCTGAAGAAGGGCCCCCTCCCCACCCATTGGTTCCTGGGGAGGCCCAAGCAGAACACTCAGGGGACTCTCTATTTTGACACTTCTACACTGACAACAAAAATCTTTTCTAAACACAGAAAAAATTCACTAAGTAGTGTTAATTAGAATAGGCCATTCTGAATGACTCCTATGCTTTAAGCTCTGTGTTTTTTTTAATTACACACACAAAAAAAAGGGGACGTAATATTCTACCTTAAACAGCTCACATGAGTTCTTGGAAAAACTATTCTATGAACAGAAAGTCCTTCTTATAAATAACATAACAACTGTTTATGTGGGGCTCAGAGCTCCTAATACAGGGAGCTGTTCAGGCATTCTGCTTTTAATCTCTACATTCGGACACTGTGCTTCACAAACCCTGTTTCATAAACAGGTCGGCAGTAAACTTCAAGCCAGGTCCTCTAGAATTCTTCACTAATGAAATCTGAATGGGGAGTTATGAGTTCACAACTTTTCATATATGGATCCAGCTTCGATGCAGAAGAAAATCAATATTGTATCTTCCTACCATGAAGACACTGCTGCCCAAGGTAGTGTGCTGTGCTTGTTTACAAACTCACATTGATTTTTAAGTAAGAAGAAGGAAGAAAAGAAAGAAACACCAGTCCTGCCACAGAATTAGGAAGCACAGCGGTCTTCCTTTCGCATCTCAGAAATATATTAAGGTCCAACAGAGCTTAAACAGGGTGGAAATTTATCATCAGTGAGCACCCCAAAACTCATTCAATTTGAGGGACTGGGGGGGTCTCAATAGGTGAACTTTAACCCTGGAGGTTTTCACTAGAAGGAAGTCCCGGGGATGGCCTCTCCCTTAAGCAGGGAGACAGGTCCCTCAGAAAGCCACAGGGGAGCTAGTAGATGTCTCCCCCAGCTAGTGCAGCCCTGGGGCCTGTGAGGTCTACCGCAGGCCAGCGTTCCCTGCTGACTCACTTGTGAGTCATTGAATTTTTCAGCAGCAAAACCACTTTGCAATTCTGTTGCTGGGAGCCAGAGACACTCAGTAAGAAACACTGTCTGCGCCTTCCAAGCTGCGTGGGGCCCGCCGCATAATGATGTGCAGGCTGGTGTGGCTGCGGATTTTATGTAACCGCACACAGCGCTGCCTTTTAAAGCTGCAGGGGCCTTTTCTCTTCATTCCCCAACTGATTCCAGGAGGACGCGGCTTTCTTGCTTTGTCCTTAACACCTTTACCACGGATGAACCTAGAGTCAGACTCGGAAATGCGCAGCTCTCTCTCGGAATCCACCTCCAAATTCTACAGAATACAATACACAGAGCAGTGGCAGTTCTGCCTGGGGATGGGGGCAGGGCGCTGAGGGAGGGAGACTGGCAATTTCTAGACACATTTTAGGGACAGGGGGAGGGAGGTGCTGGTACTTAAAGAGGAGATGTCACAGTCATAAATGCTGCTCCATATCCTACAATGCAAAGGGTAAGAAGCCCCAACACAAATCCGAAATTTTCCCTCTAAAAAATCAGATCCACTCCATATAAATATGGCAATGTTAATATGGATGTTATTACCATCTATTTCAATGTTTTTTTTTTTTAATTCCCTTTCACAGAGCCATTTGAAAAGATGCAGGCTTTCAAGAAGAAATAATGATTGTCAGGTTCCCAGCTGGGCCTGACACAGTGCCAATGTTTGCCAGGGCCCTGCAGATGCTGTACATTTGTAAGATTGGAAATAATAGACTCCTTTGTCAAATAAATCCAGCAATTTGGGCTTTAATGGGCGCTCTGACACGCACCGCCCCATTTGTGCAGCGCCGTGCATTAACCTCTGAAACTTCAAGACTGGAAGGCCACATTTTGATAAAGGTTTCTAAATTACAGGAATAATGTTAACTGTGCACTAAACAGACAACGGGGAAAATTAAGCAAGAAAAAATGAGCACATTCGTAGTGAACCCGGGTGTTCCCGGAACCCACATTGGAGGTGAAATCGCATTCTGTCTTAGGAAACTGATGTCTTATTCACAGGCTGGAGATGCACTCGACGGGCTCCTTTGTTTTCTTGTTTAGACAGAAACATAATCGTGGCCGTGTGGTAAATGGTCTGTAAAATGAGGGGCCATACTGCTAACGGTACGGTTTCCTATGCTCAGTTTTGCTTACTCTCTGGCTAGGGATTTTAGTAAGGAAAAAAAAAAAAATTGAATCAGATGTCTGCAGTTGGAAGTCTCTCGGAGATGACAGGTGAGATCCAGTCATAAACTTTTATAGCAGATGCATAACCAGCTGTCCTGTATGCAACTGAGTGATGCCTGCAATAGCTGCGTAAACCAAAGGGTACTCTTTTCACCTTTAGAGGAGAAACAAGAAATGGTGTCTTAAAGGAAAAGGAAGAAAAAAGCTACTGTTGAGCCAAAGTGCAAGTCTGATTAGCGCGGTGACTTCACTGCTGACTTATTATTTCTGATTTCTGTGCCGTTCTCTAAACCTTCACACTAGATTGTCACCTCTGCTGTACCAAGAACCATCAGCAATAGCAGCCCCAGACAGTGGGTAGCAGAAAGAGCAACGTCACACAGAGCCACTCTCTGCCGAAACATGAATAGTGGTCAAGCCACCAAAATGGGTAAATAACAGGCCGGGGAGATAGCTCAGCAGCATAAGCGCCTGTCTGGCAAGTACAAAGTCCTGAGTTCAATCCCTGGTACTGCAAAAATGGGTAAATATCCTCCCCCAGCGGATGTAATGACAGCAGTGTCTTCAGCCTGCCTTCTCTCTAGAGAAAATGTATTACAATACCTACTGCAGAATTCTTTCTTTTTCCTAACAGTGTTCCTATCCATGGCAAAGCCCTACAATCTTAAAATTCCCCAGTTCACCTTACACATCTCTCTGATTAGTTTTAGATACCTCAATATTCCCAATGGTGCATGTGTGTAATTGTGTGCGCGTGTGTGTGTGTGTGTGTGTGTGTGTGTGGACATGCATCCCGCTACAATGAGGAACAAATCCACCTTGCTCACTTATAGGCCAGTATGTCCCTGGTGGTCTATGATTAGAAGACATGGAGAAACGGAGAAAAAAGAAACCATGGTGCATCTTTAGCTAAAACTTGGTTAGTGGTAGCATTTTCCCAAATCATAGGAAAGTAAGAATCCAACATTGCTAAGAAAGTCATTTGGAAACCACTCAGGATGATAAAACTGAAATATAAATAGAAAATCTAACTGACAAGCCCGCCTCTGTGTTCAAGCAGACTTTGAGGCAAATGAAGCTTCCATCAGGCCAATGAATGACCTGATGCTTTGGCCTCATCCCTCTTTTAATCCTGATAATCAAATGGAAAGAGGAGTAAACAGGATTGAACAACGTAAGGAAGTTCTGGTTTGATTCCTCATGCCAAAATAAAATATAAAGCCATATACAAATGCAAACGGTAGTCATTTTAATTAAACATTCAACTCTTTCCAACAAAAAGTAGACATGGGTGGTAGTGTTATTGTTTGTATTTTTTTTAATTTTCATTTTTGAAGATAAAATAATTGTACAATTTAGGGGATAAGTTATGATATTTTGATTCCTACGTACACTATGAGGGCATATCTATAACTTTACAATCTTGTCTTTTTTTTATAGTGAGAACATTCAAAATACCTCTCTCTAATTATGTTAACTATTTTCACTCCATGCAATCGCTCATCAGAACTTGTCTCAACTAACTGTAACTTTGTACCTTTGACTCACCTCTCCCCTTCCCTCTTCTTACCTCTCTCCCCAGCCTCTGGTAAACATTATTCTATTCCTAATTTCTCTCAGATCAACTTTTTCTGATTCCACAGGAGAAGGAGATCACGCAGTAGGTGTCTTTCAGTGCCTGGTTTATTTTGCTTAAAACATAACGTCCTCTAGGCCCATCCATGTGATCACAGACAGGAGGATTCAATCCCTTCATAGGGAGCAGTAGTCCACCGTGTAGATGTACCACATGTTCTTTATCTGCTGAGCTTTTGGTAGATGCCCAGGCTGATTTCCTATCCCAGCTACTGTGAGTAATGCTACACTAAACATGGGAGTATAGATGGTCTCTTCGACACACCAATTTCATTATCTTTGGACATCTATTCAGTAGCGGGTGTTATGGTTTGTGTCTAGGTGTCCTCCCAAAGCCTCATGCAGGCATGGGGCAGCATCTGGAGTCTGTGACGGACTCTTGATCCAATGCTGGGATTGCGGGTGTGAGTGCTACACCCTGACCCTGGGGTGGGTAATTTGCATTACAACATAAGGAGGGGAGAGAAGCTAGCTGGTTGCCTGAGCTCTGCCACCTCCTTTGCCCTTTGCTGCCACCATGAACAGCGGCTCTCTGCCATGTGCCACTCTGCCTTGGTGCCAGCTTCATATGGACTAAAACTTCCACTAACTGTGAGCTAGATAAACCTTTCCTTCCTTGCTTTGGGGTGTCGGGTATTTTGTCCTAGCAATGAGAGAAGAGTAACTGAAACAGTGGGGCTTCTGGATCACATGGTATTCACATATTTAAAATTTTAGGAACTTCCACACTGTTTCCATGAAGGCCACACATTCCCATTCCTCCTCTCTAACTGCAAGCCTGCGCTGAAAGGGTAGAATGTTGAACGATGCACTAGTCATACCTACAGATTTCCAATACAGTTGTTTAATTCCCAAGACAACCAGCTGCGTCTATAATATCTAGTTAATAATTTTAAAAGCTCCAGCCCATCATCCAGAGTTTTTGTGTGGTCCTACCAACTGTCTCCACATTTCTTCATTCTTGCTTAAAGAAAAAGGTTACCATGAAGTTACCCTCATGGTAGAATGAGCAGCGTGACTCATAACAAATATTTTTCAGGGCAATTGGCTTTAAAATAAAACTGAGATATTGGTCGACCAGCACACTTTAAAAACAGTCATACGGTGGCTCGATATTTCAATTTTTCCTCCCAAATTGTTATAAATCCCGAAGAAGCATCCTGTCATCCTGTGTCAATGTCATGACACACTTCCGTGTGCGCTTCTTATTTATTGTGCACTTTTATCAGCCAAAGTGAGACTTACTGAGTTGACCAGATGCCTGTAGTGCTGTCCTAAGCGCCCTACAACGCTAGAAATCTCCTAAGAGTTTATCACTGGACATTTCATAATCTGTGTTCTATTGTCTTTTCCTTTTTTCTTCCATTGAAACATCCTTCCTGAGCCCTTAGTTCTCATATTTGTCACTGCATTTTCAACTTGCTTATATAAAATATAATACACAATGTTTAGGATTTCCTGAGGGAAAAGCAATTCTACTTACATTTTTCCCTTCATTTTGGGCATCTCGATAATCAGGATTAAGCTAAAAAAACAAAAGCAGAGCACAATTAATTTAGAATTGCTATTAAGAGTACATTAACATGATGAGTGGTCTTTAATTCAATTCAAAATGTTTAACTAATTTTACTATTGAAAAAGCTTTAAAACATTAGTAAACGTAACAATTTAAAGCATACTTCCAAATCCCAGTTGCATGGAACAGGAGCTAAAATACCAAATTTATGTCCCTGATTTATAGCAGAACAGCTGACATCTTGAACAAGTGAGAAACTGACAGTCTCACCTTCTCTGGGGAAGTGTAGAGTTTCCCCATTTGGCCTGCCACAAAAACTGCCATTAACCAATAACACGGCCACCAAGTTACAAAGTGAAAAATAAAAATAGGTCAAGGGAAAATTTCAACGATGATTCAAATTCATGCTCTATTTGTACGTGCTCCGTGTCACAAGGAAAAGAAAGCACAAGAGGAGTGGATACGTCGGTTAATACACAAGGGATCCTGAAGCCAATGAACAAAATGCATGTCCTTGGCCCTGGTTGGCAGAGGTCAGAGGTCTTTTGTGTGTGTGTGTGTGTGTGTGTGTGTGTGTGTGTGTGTGTTTAGTACAGAGGATACAGGGTCTACAGGGTCTCACTACATAGACCGTACTTATAGAGATTCTCCTGTTTTCAGCCTCCCAAGAACTGGGATTACAGACACACCACCACGCCCAGTCTCAATTTGTGCCCCTGAGGCGGGGCCGGAACCACACAGTGGGGATTGAACCCCAGCTGCTGTGCTCTGCCTAAGTAGGAGCTTTAATCCATGGGGTCATTTTAAGTGAGTTCTGTTATGCTGAATGTTGACCCATGTACCATCCAGTCAGTCAGATGCGGTAATTCTCAATTTTCACTCTCAAAACGCTTAGTTGTACTGAAATAACTAGTTGACAAACTGTCAAACACAGGATTAAGAAATTGTTTTTCTTGGGCTGGCAAGACTGTTCGAGAGTCTAAGTGCCTGCCTGGCAAGCATGAGGTCCCAAGTTCGATGCCCAGTACTGCATGCCATCCCAGTCCTGGAACATCAGGCATTTTGTGCCAGCCCTGAAACCAGGTGTGGTGACACATGCCTGTAATCCCAGCACTGAGGAGGCTGAGACAAGAATATCACTAAGAGTCTGAACTGTGTAGTAAGAATCTATATAAAAAATTAAAATTAAAAAATTGTTTTCTTTGAATACCTGTCCTATTGAGTATTATCATTTTCCTGTAAATCAATTTGCAGGCATAATACACAATCCCAAGTCATTATCACTTAGAGTGAGAAGTCAAATGTCCCTTTGAGTGTGAGTGCGTGAAGGGCCATTGCATTGAGTGACATCTGCAGCCCTTCTTTTCACTTTTTATTTTGAGACAAGGTCTGCTACATTGCTAAACTGCCCAGGGTGGGCTTAAACTCAGTATCCTCTTACTCAGCTTTCTACAGGGCTGGAATTACAAGCATGGACCCATGTCAGATGTGTTCCTTAAAATGATATTTGACTTTGAAAGGTTCTGACTGCCCCTCTCACTATCAATGAAAGTACTAAAAACAATTATCAGAAGAAAATAAGAAAGAGAAATGCTCAAGGTCATCAGAAACACACACTGAAGAAACAACCTCGACTCCAAATCTTCAATGCATCAACATTAATTATAAAGCAGATAGTTCTGAGTCTGGTAACGGCCCAGCTTTCATCTGTGGTGTTCTTCGAGACAGCTGCCCTGGGCACATAGTGAAGAAGAAACCTGCCCCGGACTATTGTCCTCTGACCCAGAGACCTGGAGAATCCACTCAACAGAAAGCTCCCCAGATCCAGGCACGGTGGTGCACTCCTACTCCCTGGAAGGCTAACGCTGGAGAATCCAAGCTCCACCCAAGCCTAGACAGCTTATTAGTGTAGCAGGTCACTGTCCTAAAATTAAAAAAAAAAAAAAAAAAATGGAGAATGGGTGTGGTTTATAGGGTCATGGGTTCAATCCCCAGAACAAACAAACTAAACAAAAAGGCTAATTTCCTGTGAGAAGATGCTGAGATTAAGCAGAAAAGTCTGTCCCCAGGCCACTCCGCGCCCGTGCCACAACCTGCGTTCCAGGATGCGGAGACAGCACAATGGTCAGAAGGCGGGAAGGAGGGCGGACAGCAAGCTGCTGGCTGCGCAGCGCTTTCTGAGAAGCACCATGCAGTGGAGAAAGAACAGAAGCGTGGTGTTGTGTGCTGGCACGACCTTGGGTGGCGATGTAGGGCAGCAGGGGGCAGCAGAGCTCAGGTAGTTAGCGCTCAGGTGGGTGATGTGGGCATCTGCCGCAAAGGGGAAGGGCACGCATCCTGCGCCCTGCAGCCGAAGCTACGGGAGGAAGGCGGGAGAGTCTCCTGACACGACTTAAACATGGAAAAGGGCAATCTGCTCAGTCTATGGGGTTCTGCACAGAGCTCGCACATCCGGGGGTGATAAGGAAGAACGAAAGGAAGGACGGGTGGAGAGAACACAGAAAGAACAGAAAAGAAGGAAGAGCGGGAGGGAAGGAGGGGAAAAGCAAAAGGGGACTGATGAAAAAGTACGCCAGAAAACAGGGACTTGTTTCTCAGGGTTTTCTGAATATTTCCTATGGTACAATACAAAATAAACTTTCTAAATACTTAAGATTTGTATGTTGAGTCTAGGGTGGTGGTGCATGCCTGTAATCCCAGAACTGGGAGGCTAAAAACAGGAGGACCACTATGAGTCTGAGCTGCGCCATACAACAAATACATAAAATGAAGAAAGAAAGAGAGAAAGAAAGAAAAGAAAGAAAGAAAGAAAATGTATGTGATCTATGGAAAAGCAACAAAATAAGATTTTACGTTAAATTATGCTAAAAGGATAGTATAAAAATAAAATATTATAAAATGATACAATACAAAAAATATATAAAATAACTTAAGGAGGATTTCAATAAAAATGAAGACAAAAATACAGAATCAAAGTCCACCTGGGCAACAATAAAAGCATACTTGATGCTACAGAAAATAGGTAATACAGAGGACGCAAAATGTGTACAGCTGTCCCTCAGTGTGGAGGACAGGGATGCAGAAATGAAAACCAGGAGGGGCCCCCCCAAATAGCTCAGTGGATTAAAGCACCTACAAGCAGGCAGAGGGGCCAGGGGTTCAATCCCCAGGGCTTGCTGAGACCGCAATTGAGACTGGGCGTGGTGGCACGCGCCTGTAATCCCAGCTCTCGGGAGGCTGTGAACAGGCGGATCACTAGGAGTCTGATCTAGTAGTGAGACCCTCAACACCCTGTAGACCCTTCCCTAAAATACAAAAAAAGAAATAAAAATTAGGAAATAGAAACCAGCCACAGAGAGCCAGAGAAGGGCCTATCAGAAGGAAGTGAGACAAAAAAGAACACAAGCAATCATCAAAGACCGTGGAAAGTAAGGCTTTCTCAGCTGAAGAGAGAACTGTGTGCTTAAAGGTTACTCTACCTCAGGCGAAGAACCTGAATATTGACATAAATAAATAAATAAAGTAGAGAGGGGAAAAAAGGAGGAAAAACAGAAGTAGGGCACAACTCAGAGGCAGATAGCAGGCTTAGATCAAAAATGCATAATTAGGTCTAGGGAGACAGCTCCACAGTCTAAGCGCATGCTCGCCAAGTGCAAGGACTGGGGTTCAATTCCCGGTAGAGCAGGCTGTGCTGGCCCTGGAATCCCAGATGTGCTGAGCCGGCCTAAGACCAGGCGTGGTGGCACATGCCTATAATCCCAGTGCTGGGGAGGCTGAAATGGGAGGAGCACTAGGAGCCAGAGCTGGGTTACGAAACACTGTACGAAAGAAAGAAAGAAAGAAAGAAAGAAAGAAAGAAAGAAAGAAAGAAAGAAAGAAGTACATTATTATGCCACAGAAGAATGGGTAAATGAAATGACCTTTACTCAGCAGAGTTAGCAGCAACAAACATTATGTACTACTGAAACATCCAGTGAGAAGCGAGGTAGTACACGTACCGGCTCCCCACAATGATCATCACATACAGCAAGCAGGCAGTAATAAATATACAAAGGGGTAAAAATAAAAGTAAGAGCTGTTTTTAAAACAAGAAGGATGAGCCTCAAAAACATTAAGCAGAAAAAGCCAGGCGCAAAATGTAGTGCCCTATATGAGGCCATTTACAAGACACACAAGGACAAACCTAAGCTATGGAGACACAAATCAGAAAGTGAGAGGGGTGGGAGGGAGGGACAGGACAGGGGGCAGAGCCCAAGCTGAGGAAGAACAAACCGATGCGTGAGGAGGGAAGCGAGACAAGCAGCCTATCGGTGCTGAGTGGCACTGGGGGAGTGCGGGCTCTCTACAGGGACCGGAACTCCTTACACTCTTGTGGACCGTATGCCACAGAATTATTCCAAAACAGGATTAATCTGGCTTCTAAAACTCCAAAAGTGAAAGGCAGCAGGCCAGAGAATGAGTTAATTTGCCTGCTGTCTACTGATGAGTCAACTCAAGGAGACACTGTTTTACTTGACGAAAAAAAAAAATTCTAAGATGCTAGGACCAGGGGTTCGATTTCTGGCCTGCCACCACCAGTCCCGCCCCCAGGGCATGCTGAGACAGTGCTTGAGATTGGGCGTGGTGGTGTGCAAAGCCTGTAATACCAGCGCTCGGGAGGCTGAAAATAGGAAGATCACTATGAGTCTATCTGTGTAGTGAGACCCTGTAGACCCTGTACTAAATGCATTATTAAAATAAAAAAAAAAAATTCTAGCATAATGCCCAGAAAGCATGTTCATCTATTTTAACCACATATCTTGGTCGTTTCTTTTAAATTTGCTTTCAGCTTGCAAAATTCCAACTTTTCTCTCAAATTAAAAAAAAATAAAAAAATAAAAAAAATAAAATCCACACTAAATTTTTAATCAAAGTACATCTAAAAGATACTCCACATGTTTAACCAAAGATAAAAGTCAGGGTCAAGTTTTTCATTTAACATGTCACAAAATAATTGCTTTCCAGTGCTA